CCCAAAGCCATATTACGATAAATTTTAAAGGGATGGCTAAATCGAAAAGGGACAGCTAAAGCCAAAAGAGATCACTTGTTCTCTCAAAGTCTGCAAAACAAGACTTATTGCTTTATTATAGGTTATTATAATAAAAGGTGAGGTCTAATGAAGATGCATGTATTTTAATGATTTGATGCTCATTGCGCAAGTTGCAGTTCTTTCAAAATCTTGCAAGAAGCTGCAGCTCAAAATCCTTGCATTTTGGGGAAGCTGGTGCCCTGTCTGTGGTCTTGCACTGCTTCCATCTACTTGGCCTGTGATCAACTTCTCTGACAGGAATGGTGCTGGGGTTATTTTCCTTCTTATTTTGCACTCAGTTGGAAAATCTCCTGTCCTCTTGCCAGTATAGATAGCAAATTTGGAACAAAATGGATTCTCTCAAAAAGGAGAAAAAAGAAATGGGGAAAATCCAGTTGTCTATGGGAGCATGGATTCGTGATAAACTTTCCAACTTGGTTATCAACTGTGAATCTTCAAGATGGTGCCTTATCTGACTTATTCTTAGTTTTCCCCTATTTTTGATGCAGCAAAGAGATCTAAGTAATATTCCTGTTAGTGCTATCAAGGATGACAGTAATAAGGTGTTTTACTGTTATCTTAGGTTGCAAATGCCATGAAGAACTCACTGCCCTTTGATGCTCCTGATGCATCACAAGAAGGCCAGAAGGTCCTGAAAGTTGAAGTTACTCCCACGGTGCCGAGGATTTCTCGCACTGCCATTACAACAGCTTCTATTCGCCGTCATCGCTGGAGGAGAGAAGGTGACCTTACTCTGCCAGCAGTAAACACTGTAGCATACTGTATTCATCTCCATCAGTGTAACCTGGCTTCTGAGTTTGAATGTTTGCAGAATAATAACTATTTCTTTTGAAAGGCTATGCTCTGTAACAGTGTGTAGTATTTTACATCTTCAGAGCACTGCATGAACATGAACATTTAGTGTCTGTTTTGTTCTTTACTTGATGATAGCTCTTGAGGTAGGTAAGTAAGTAGAGAAATTGGAAAATGTTAAACGAGACTTTCTTTCTCCCAGTTACACAGCCTAAAACTGCAGTGGTAGAGTTCAGTTTAGAATTTGAGTTCTTCCCTTAATCCGTACTAAAACTCAACTGCCTCCCACCATAAATAGCTCAAGCAATGGTATCCAAAACTCGGTAGGGTTCCAGCTGACCAGACCCACTGAACACAGTGGAAGATGGAAGAGCTGAACATCATTTATACCATCACAGGGTCCAGTTTACAAAAGGGATACGTCATGAACTGGTTTAGGATAGCTAAAGAAAAATCTGTTTTTCATGAGAGAGCATTTCTCCATGTGGAAGTGTGCTTGACCTTATGAAAAAGAAAAATATGTAGTAATATTTACCTTGATATATTTTCAGTGTAGGTGTAGCAAAGAGTTTACTTTGAAATCACTTTGTCATACTTAAACAGCTTTGATGCTGCATGTATAAAACATCAAAAAAAAAAAAAAAAGCATAAATGGCTGAAGGTAAAAAGTAGAGTAACCTGAAAATAAACTGAGGGTAGAGGAGTCTGAAAACAAATATTGCACTTTGATACTTTTTTTTTTTTTTTTCTATTTTGTATCATGTGCCCAAGGGTTTTAATGACCTCTGGTTCTCAGCTGAATCAGGATGTCCAGGACAAGAAGCAAATGTCTATCTTGAGGACTCTGAGTCATGTTTGTCTTTGCTGTAGTTGCCATTATATTCATTTGCTAGTCTCTGGTCTACAGTATAGCCCACCTGTCCCTTTCTGTGGATGTTCTCACAATTTTCAGCTAAGCATGGGTAGTGTTATATGTTTGTTCCGTGTCCACATAAATCTTATATTTTCCCTACCTGGGTTGGAATATCAAGGAAGGAACGGAAACGCACTAAAATGTTATATGTTGAATCCCAGATGGCTTTGACTTCTCAAACGAGGCTGACTCAAGCATTCCTGGCTCACCGATCCAACACGGCTGCACAGACCTAGGGATCAAACGTGAGCAAGAGGGGGAGGTGCTGATGCGCAGGACCCCTGAGCATGGCTTCCCGGAGCCCACCTTGACAGCAGCCACAACAGAGGGTAGGACAGAGATGAGGAGGCAGAAGTCAGTGAGGCAGTTGCTGGAGGAAGATCCCGGCTCCCTATCCCCAAGCAGAACTTCTTTCCATTCTAGTGTGTGTTTCCGCTATCCCAGGGTGTATTAGCTTCTCTTTGCAATACACGCATCCCCTATATACCTAACATCAGGTCAGGTACTACCTTTTGTTATCACATGGGCTGGCCTGGGGCTTGCATCTGTGTGGTGAAAGACTGCTTGGCATGGCTTATAAAACACAAGGATAATAGCCAAGAGCATTGGGATTGCTTGGAAACTTTCTATTACTGAGCATGTTTAATATTCAGAAGGAAAAGATGCACCAGGTGAACATAAATCTAGTCCTGAATAGCAGTCAGTATAGAGTGTAAATGAACTGGCTACAAGTTAATTCCAATTGTGTCTTGTTAGTGTGTGGTTTTGAATTTTCCAAGAAAGATTCCTGTTTCCATTAAGTCAAGCCTATTCAATGGATTTATTTGCCAGTTCTTCCTTTAAATGCAGATTCACGTGCTTACAGCTAGTTCACATGAATGAACTAGCTGTTTTAAAAACAAAAAGTTTAAAACAAAAACAAAATTCAGTCTTACAGATTAAATCAAGTTGTCATGTTTCTAAAAGCTTCAGACCCAATGGTTGCTTTCTTCTGCAGTTGCACTATTCAGATAGAGTAGCTGGTAGAGATTCATTTAACTTAAGCTCATCTATTAATTTTCTTGTCTTTACTCTGTTAGGGGCATGCTTTTGAGCATTGAATTTGAGTCATGAATCTTCAGAAATGATGAACATTCTGATTAATTTCTTGTGAATTTAGATGAATATATTTTCAAGAGTTCTCCAATCTTAAGTCTTCTTTGCTATTTGAACATTCTTTTGGTATTTCCAACATCTATAAGCATATCAGTTTATCAAAACTCAGACTTATTTGCAGATTTGAGGGTAAGCTACATGGGTTTTAGATTTGTTCTTCTGGAAAATAATATGGAAAAATTAAAGATTTAATGAAACTTTGTCACAGAATCCTTACTATTAATCAGAGTTGCTATCAAATGGTAATTAAGATACCATTCTTCTGTAGAGGGCAGTTGCATAAAAATGTTTAGTGTGGGTTTATAGCCTATTCCTTGGTGCATAGTGAGTTTGAGCATGCTCAGTAAATGAGTCCTGTCCTCTCCTAAATTCATTTGTTGAATTGATCTAACTCTGTTTCACTAACCTTTGCATGTGCATGTCCTGAAGGATATGGAGAAGTCTTCAGTTTTGCAGAGAACCTTCTGAGAAAGAAGGGAAGTAGGAAAGAGACTGCCTAAAGATCCAACTTTCTAATTTTTTTTAAGAAATATTTGTTATTTACATGTTCTTGGAGAGTGCATCATTCCACATGTTTTACCCAAATAGAAGTGGATTGAATATCCTTTGCTTTTTTAAGTATTAGCAGTATATGTACATGAGCAAACTGAATTCTGCCAATTGATAACATCTGTGAGGAGGCCAAGGAATGGAGTTTGGTTTGATTATCAGTATAGCCCTGTGTATGTGTGTGTGTATGTGTATATATATATATATAGTGCTCTATTGTCTCAGATGCTGATTTCACAGAGAGTGTGGGGTAGCTTCTGATAAAAATCAATATGATACTAAACAGTATCATATGAGTGCCATCACTTTTAGTGACTCTTCCAACTTTCAGATATGGAAAGGATAGACAGAATAAATGTCACTTGAAATATACAGAACCCCTTTTCAGATTAAATTTTGATCTAATTAAAGCAGAATGACAGAAGATCTCAAGAATATCTCGGGAATGCCTTAGAAAGGTGCTTTCCTGCATTAGTAGTAGGTATGTGCATTATCTTGGATCTGTGGAGAATGCTGCATCTACTTCTGCAGTATTAACTGTATGTTGGCCTTAATAGGTTATTCTTTGGAAAGGGACTGATCCTGAAGAGACAACATAGTGCAGTCAACCTGCTTTCTGTCACACTGCGCTAGCTCTTTTAATTCTGGCATTATAGTACAAGAGGGAGGAGGGGTTTAGCTATTTTATTTTATTTTTATTTTATTTATTTATTTTATTTATTTATTTTATTATTTTTTATTTTATTCTTTCTAGTGTCCTAGTGGTCTATTGGAGGATTTTTTTTTGAAGGTTTCTGAGAGCAGCTTTTAGACGAAAAATAACTTGCATTGAGAAAAGTGTATGTGTTTGCTGAATTACTCAAGTCCCTGTGAGATTTTTCGTAGACACGTGGGATCAGACTAAACAGAAATTCTCTCGCATGTTGTCTTCTCTATTTTCTTCACTTCTGAGCACTGCTGAGCTGCTTGGGCCTCTGTACAGTTGCAGCATCCAAAAGCTTGCAGCAGCCCTCTCAGTCTTTCCTGTAAATTCTGTGGACAAAATGCCACTTTTTGTGCGTGACTTTGCTTCACTGACTCTGAATAGGGGATGTCTGTTTTGTACATCCTGTTACTCAGAAATGCTGTGAGACAAACGGTGAAGAAGGGCTCATGTTCCTGTAAAAATAGAAACCTCACAAGTATTGTTTGGAGATACCTCCTTTCAAGCTACTCATCTTGTGCTTCAGTAAGAAAGGATTGAGAGGGCAGTTCAGCTGCTGCTGTTGCTGCTTGTGGCCAAATACACTTTCATCCAGCTTTGCATGATGATATAAAGGAACATAAACTGATGGTTTATTGAAAAAATGTTTTCACTGTGTTCCAGTTACATCATCCTTTTATTACTACCATTGATAATTAGGTGTGGGAAGGTTTGGGGGGAATGGAGATGTGGATTGTGAGTAAAATATTTTATTGACCTCTGTAAGAAAATAGATGCATGTCTTAATGAAAAGATGAAAGCCTAGTTTGATATATATATTTTAAATATGGATACAAGAAGTTAAAACAAGTGTAACACATTTCATTTTCATGATATCCTTTGAAAATTAAAAAGCTTTCTAATTTAAGATTAAAGCTTTATCCAGGGAGGAAGACTGCAGTAACATGAACTGTCTTAATGCTTCTGGGAGGCTAATGAGTCAAACAGAAGCATATGGAATGAGGGAATATCCTCTTATTGCGTTGTTCTGAGAGATGCCTGAGAACAGGCTGATTTGGAGAAGGCTGAACATCTTTTGTAGGCTGATTCACTTTACTAGTAATTCCAAAGCAAATTTTCCTAAAAAGAAAAATTGATTTAAACTGAACAATAACAAAATAGTCGAACAATAACAAAACTACATTGAAGCACTTTATGCTTCAGAAATTTGACATTGGATCTTGCTTTTGATACCAAAGCAGGAACAGTCAAGGCTTTGTGCCTTTTCTGTTTGCCATACTTCAATGCTCCATAGTGCATTGCTAACAATCAGTATGAAAGGATGAGGTTCTACTCACATGGTAGAAACTTCTAAGATCCTTGCCACTGCTGCTTCCTCATTCCACAGAGAGAAATGTGTTTGCTCAGTGGCATGCGGGCTGAGCAAATTACCAGTGAAGTAACACAGTGATTGCAGCTGTGACAGAAGCATAGACTTTGTGGATTTCTCACAAATGGTCAAACTCCACATCTTTCATAAAGAAGAGCAAAATTTGTGTAGCCTGAATGTCTCCTCTTTTGCAAACATAGCTAAACTTCATGGGTTTTAACTATGAAAACAAGATACCTGGAGCAAAGACTCTCAAGCTCTGTTTTCAGTTTTGAATTTCAAATGCTATTCAGTTTTCTAGTGAAGCAATAGCTGTTACTTTGTTTTGAGTATTTGGAGCTTAAAACAAGAACTGGGATAAGATTTAAAAAAAAAAAAAAAAGTACAACCATAATCACATCATAAGACTGAAAGCAAGAATTTAATAAGGATTTTTTTCTGGGCCATTTCTGCCATTTCCCCCCTGCCTTTACAGGCCTTATTTAGAAGCAGAAAAAAAGACTTTTACAACATGGAAGTATTTCACAGCCTAAACTTGTGTTGATACATGAAATCTTTCTCTGAAAAATCTAGATGCCCAGATTAACGCAAATGTGATGGGAGCATGTCAGTGGGATAGCTAGAAATGTAGGGTGGATTGAGCTCTGTGGAGGGAGAACAAGAAATTAGGTTGCTTTCCAACAGCAAACTTGGTCACGTTTGAACTATCAGCTACACCCAGCAGAAGCCTTCTACTTTTGTTGGAATATTGCAATTGCTGCCCTGGGAAGTGACCTAATTTTGCTCACTTGGTAAAAACCTGCTCTGACCGACAGAGATCTTAAACATGCTCACATCTTGCTCCCGACCAGGATGGAAATAGTCTGAAAAGATTTTTGTCTTTTTTGGTTGTATGGGAAAGTGGGACCAGTTAATGCAGACAGAGCTAAAACAAATTAATCAAATGAGGCCTCTCTAATGGTCACTGGTACTCCTGACTTAAAAAATGATATGGAGGAAAGCCAAATCAAGATCAGACAGTACTTAGTTACCCCTTCCTATATTGCTTATAATAGGAAAATTACTGTGAAAGAATTAGGAGTTTTTAAGCAGGATGATTTGAGCAGGAATCATCTGAATCAGCAAACAAAGTTTGTTCTGGCATTCTGTGTGCATCTGTATGTAACTGAAATGATTACTATATGTTCTGATTGGTTTGGGGGTTTGGGTTGTTTTTTTTTTTCTTTTTTTTTTTTCCTCAATAGATGCTGAGGGTGTAAATGGACGAGAGGAATCTGTGAACCTTAATGATGCTGACGAAGGATTTTCATCAGGCGCTTCCCTCAGCAGCCAACCAGTTGGGACCAAACTTCCATCATCTGTATCCCAGAAGGGTAGCTTAAGGAAAGCAGCAAGTGGGCGTTCTGCTAAGGATAAAGAAAGCTCTTCTGCAGCAAAATCCAGTGAGAGCCCTCGAGATTCAGTAGCTCGGAAGCAGTACATGTATCAATCCACTGACCTTGGTGCAGATATGATTGAAATGACACCTACGAAGAAACACCTCAGCCTGCCTGCTGGGCAGGTGGTGCCAAAAGCCAACAGTTTGAGTCTGATTAGGACCGCCAGTGCTTCCTCCAGCAAATCATTTGACTACGTGAATGGCAGTCAAGCAGGCTCCAGTGTCGGTGTTGGCTCAGAGGGTGTCACCAATCTAGCAGCTGGCAACACCAATCGGTTTTCGACTATCAGCCTACAGGAGGATCGACTAGGCCAAGCTGGGGAAGGTAAAGATCTCCTTCCCCCAGGAGCTCCCCTAACCAAGCAGTCTCGATCTCCAAGTTTCAATATGCAGCTGATATCCCAAGTGTAGCTGGCCCCCTTCTTAGGACTCCCTTTTCCCCCTTAATCCCCAGGCAAGTTCATCCTTGGGCAAAACAAGAACCATCATGCCACAGTGTGAAAATACTGTCGTGATCTTGTTTAATTTGGTTTAGATATAATACTGTATCTTGTACTGAAACAGCAATAATTCTTCCCTCACCTTCACTCTCACCCCTTGTAAACATGGTTGTGAAGCAGTATATAACGTACTGTATGCCTTTTTCCATGCCTTTCTTTCTCCTTGGGTGATGTGCAATCCATCGTAGGCTGATCAGTCCCATTTCAACACTGTGAGACTGGAGACACCGGCGGAAATGGTGAATGTGATCCCTATGAGATAATGCTTTGGCTTTGTTAAGAAATAGAAACGGGTTTGTTTTCTCGGTCTACAGTACTACAAAGACTACTGGATCATGACTTTTCTTTCTCAGAACCAGGAGTGCCTCAGAGATTCTAACGTGACTTTGGACCTCTCTGAGTCTGTGCAATCAATTCTGGGGAGGGGATTGTCATTGCTGCTCCTGGCTGCCTACAGCACTTTTTCATTAAACGAGGGTAGCTTATTTTCTTGCCTGCCCCCAGTCTCTCATCTGAGAAGCTTTTGATGTTCAGCCACTGAGACATGCATATTACCAAGTTGTTGTCCCTCAGAGAGGGTTGTAAGTAGATAATGTAGGTTACAATGCACTTCTAATGGCGTTGTAGCCATATGTAATGTTACATGTCTTCCCCTCCAGGACACAGGGTTATTCTGCATATAGACTAAAATTTAGACAAGACCATGCTGGTAAAGCAGTTTGGTTCATAAGTGGGAGGGAAACACTACTTTCCTAGGAACTAATAGCTAGCTCTGCTCCAATTTTTGTTGTTGTTACTGTTGTTGTTGTTCTTGTGAGGTGATGATCACTGAATTGAAAGGTGTATTCGGGTAAAGAATATTTCTCAGGCTGCTTTCTATGGTATCATGGCTAGTGGACACTCCCACCCCTCAGCTGCTTTCTCAGTGTCCCTAAATTCAATCATGGAGAGATTTTAAGAATCCTGCAGTCCAGACAGGCCATCCTCTAAGGGGCTGTCTCAGGGATCGAGGCAATGATCTGAAACACTGAAGCTTCAATGTGAAACACTTTTCTAGAAACATCGTTTGTACCAAGTGGTACTGACAGTCCGTTTTTCCCAGAAGGACCACACTTTGCTGCCTTGGTATTTATAATCTGTTAAGGTGTTGTGGGTTGTCTTGTTTTGTTTTGTCTTTAACTGTCCTGCTATTTTAGTTGATTGGCCCTTACTCCAGAAAATTCAGAACTCATGCCATTGAGCCAGACCTTGAATGTGTGTGACCGGTGTATGGACACGGGCTCGTACTTACGCTAGAGGACACTGCTTAGAAGCACATGTTCCTGGCTGCACAGGAAATGCTTGACATTCTCTTTCTTTCCTTCTTTCTCTCTGTCTTACTGTATTCTTTTTGGAGAGAAAAGAGGAAGGCTCATCCTATTTTCTTAGGTAATGTATAATATGCTGGAAGTTTACAAATTGTAAAACCACAGGAGAGAGTTACAGTCTTTATGTGGGCACTTTGCTTTCACTGTCACTGTGAAGAAAAAGATAAGCAGTTAAAATAAGAGGTTATTTTTGGATGATACTCTTTAAAAAAATTCAGGACAATAACATGGTGTTACAGTGCTGATGGTTGTTTTAATGTAGCTTCTGGTATTTTACTTCTGAACCTCTATTTCAAACAAAACGAGCTTTCAAATTTACATTAAAACTCATTTCAATATTCAAAGGAGTTTTTGTGGTTTGACAAATCACTTTGGCAATCTAGTCTTTATATATTTAATTAACAGAGAAGTTACAGAATTAAATGGCATCCAGGTTAATGCCAAAATATAGCAAGAAAATGAGTAAATTGAATTATTAAAAAGAAAGAAAATGTTACTGTTTTCCCTTTCGAAGTTCATCTTTTGTGGCACATAGCTGGAACTGTAAGGCAAAGTCAAGATTCAGGTACAAGGTAGAAACCTCTGTGAAAATCAAACTGAGATATTTTCTGTAATAATGTCAAAAGCTGTACAGGTTAGAGGGGCTACTCTTATTTTGTAAAATTTTAATGGCAGTAGCAGAATTACGTGATAACAGCCATGGGTGTACAAAAGCTTGCTTGCTAGTTTGTTGACTGAAAGTTTACAAAATCTGTATTTTGTAGAGACCATCCAAAGGGAATTATATGAAAGAGCCATCGCTTTAGATTGATAAGGACCAAATTATTTGTTTGAATCTTTGGGAAAGGAAATGTCAGAAGTGTCAGCTAGTTTTTGAAGAATTATTTTAATAAGTATTTCTTTTAAATGTGGCTGTTTGTTAGTAAGGTTTTTGTTTTGTGTTTAACATTGTAAGTGTGTGTTGAGGTTTTTGACAACGTTTTTTTAAAAAATTGTCAAACTATATATATATATATGACAAATATAACACATATATTTGGAATATATATATATTTGGGAGTGGATTATATATATAAAAATATATCTTTATGTGTGTGGGGTGGTTCCTGTACATTGTGCTATTAACGTTTTTCAGGAAAGTGAGACAGAAAATGTGCATGTATAAGTTTGAATTGGTTAAAACTTTAGTCAAACTATATTTTAAGATATTTTTGCAGTTCTCATTTTGATGGGGTGCCTTTTTGTTATGGCTTAATAATGCATTGTATTTTGTTTTGTTCTTGTGTCTTTTATTTCCCCTATAAAGATTTTGAATAATTTAAAATTTATCCCTACATTTTTTTTCCTATGTGCTGATGTGGTACATTTATAACCTACCAAAATTACCCTTTGAGGGCAATGTTTTATTTGTGGGAGCTTGCTTTGTTGTTTTGCAAATGTGCACTGATCAATGCCTATCTCAGAAGTGAGTCAGTAGTAGTATCTACAAACCAGCTGTAACATCAGGCCTTGGCAGTGCTCTGTATCACATGGATCACTAATGCTTTTAGATGTGTCTCAAACTATGCCGAGGTGTGTTAAGACTGTACCAAAACTTCAGGTGCTGAAGTTCAGTACACTTTAAAGTAGTGTGGCAGTAATAAAGCTAGAAATGTCTAGAATACTGGCTGACATGATGCCTTTCTGATTATGCATGTTAAGTACTGAATGATGTACAAAACATACTTAGATTTTCTGACACCCGTGGCAAATATTTAGATTTAAATCTGTCTATTCTGAATTAATTCTGCCGTAACTGGTTTTTAGAACCTTTGGCAGTTGACAGAAGGTGCTAGTTTTAGAGCTCTGCAGTAATTCAGTACAGCTGCAGCATGACAAGAGAAGGTTAAAAAGCAAAACACTGCTTTTTTGTGTGTGTGTGTGTGTGTGTCTGCATGCACATGCATGTCTTCGGTGAGAAAATGTGGGTACTATAGGTAAGTGTGTATACACATTTAAGTAAGGATAACTGAATTATCCCTTTATACAGTTTTTATCACATTATGATTGCTGCCATTTTGTTACTCATTCTTTTTCTTGGTCTTTATGATTTTAGGAAAATATAAAATGCTGGGCTTGCTAACTCAAGCTTTGTTTAGCTTTCTGCAGATGTTTATTATGAGCAGTCTTTTGGTGGAAAAAGGAGCCATTTTTTCATCTTGCAGGCAGCAAAGTGATGAAGTAAAAATACCTATTAATGAATGTTGCAAGGTGACAAATTGCAGTATAATCCTTTCAGTTTAGATTTCGGCATATGGAGATTTCGTACGTCACTGTATGACTTGAATATACGCCCTTTTTGATGTGAATTTGGAAAAGCTTTTTAATGGCACATTTTGTTCTGTAATGCTGAACGTGTTGCCACCAGAAAGCATCAGAGCTGGTATTTATAGTTTGCAAGTATGTTGGCCTTAAGTACTTAAATTTAACATTTCCAGCATACTCTTGCTAGCTTTAAGGTAATTAAATTCAGCTGTTTTGGCAACAAAATAGTGAGAAATATTTTGTTTTCTGACAAAGTATTTATTTGCACTACTTTTGTGAATAGTGGAGTTTACTGGGACAGGGTTTTTTCTCACCATGTGAGGTTTACTTGTGTGTGGATAGGTACATACATTTGTCACGTGTTGACAATCAATTGCCTCAACTGTGTGTGTACTGTATGTAAATATAGACATATTTTTCCAGTTTAAGGGGGGAATCCACACCTTAATAATGATGGTAAAGCTATTCCATAGTAAGGGTTGAGACTGTGTCTAACCCTTTTTGTCTCCAGATACTATGAGGTTTGTTTCCACTTCTTTCACAAAGATTGTTACTGTTCATGGAAAAAAAATAAAATGGAAAATTCCTCAATATTTAATATATAACATTTTTAAAAATACAATTTTCTGAAGAATTTAATTTTGGAGTAGATAAACGTATGCTACAGCTATATTTTAATCTAAGAATTTAAACTTATTTTTTCATGAACTGATGGCTACCTGTTTTAAGTGTTTGGGTACTTTAATTTTGTCACAAAGTGGAAAATTTTGTTTGTTTTGGCTTACAAATTTAAATTAGTTTGAAGAGCAAGTGGGAACCAAGAGGTTTTCGAGAAAGGTCTTAAAACTGGGTACCGCAGTCATAATCCTGGAGGAGGTGTGGAAAATGCAAAGATATATATTTGAATGAAATGTATGTGGCACACAGAACAAAAAGATGTTCCAGATGTTCTTAAAACTTGTAATCTCATCCTTAAATTCTGCAATTCTTTCATGGCCAAAGATTTGCTACCTTGGCTTGTTTAATATAATATTAAATCCATTAGCTTTTTACAATATAGGAATCGTTTGTGAGAACATCCATTTACAGTATAGGAACAGTTTACATAAGAGCAGTAAATATGCTTTTTGTTTTGGTTGTTTAGGGTGATCACAGAACTAAATTTGCAAAACATCAGCCCTTTCTAAGTATAGTAAAAAGAAAGGACATTTTAGCTGTACATGGATTGCATTTTTGGGTTTATTTCAATTTTTCAGTGTGTTAAATGCAGTTTATTTCTAGCACATGGGCCTTAATCTCCCTTAATTATTTAGTTTGTGTTTCCATTGGCAATTGGGTAAACTTGGCTGTAGAAAGCTTTTCTAGAGGCGATTTGGGGAGTGGGGCGAGGTCATGTGTGGGTGTTACTAGTCAATATGTATGTCAGTCAAAATTTTCATGTCACGACCATCTGAAGAGCCAAAATACTCCCCTGTCTCTTGCCCAGTGATAGAGGACAGTGGGAAGCTGTGTGCAGTTTGGTCCATTGCCAGGTTAGGAAACCAAGCAGTGAATATGTTTTGAAAATCTGGTAGAGTTGGTGATTTCCACATAGTTAATTTAAAATGAAGTCTATGAACATGCTTGCAAACCATCTTATGGTAGCCATTTCGAGTAAACTTGCCTGGTAAATTTGGCAAGCACTAAGGCTTGCATACAATAAATTAAAAGTTTAGGAGCAAGCTGCAGAAGTCTAAAAGCACCTCACAGCTTCCAGAAATAGATTTGGTGAAAAATTGTCAGAGGCTAAGTCATTATATTCTAAATTTAATTAAAGATGATGGTAAACAGCTTCTGTTTTCATTATTTATTTGCTCTTGAATTTAAAAAAAAGAGTGAATGAGGCAAAATAATCTTTCAACTATGTTTTACACCCCAATTTTACCAAAGATTGATTTGTGGGATTGATTTAATTTTTAAAAGTGGGTCCATAAATTGTCCTTTCTATCATAATGGTTTGCTAAAATATTACTGTGAGGAGCTGTTCATAGGAAGAGATAGGGTATGAAACTTTGTACAATAAAACTGGCTTATCTTTTAACTTGTGCGTGATGCACAAAGTGATTAGGCCAAGTTTTATTAACTAATTAGTTAATTACTTTGTTGTGAGCTCTTGCTTTATGCCTAGCAGTGAGTAAGATGAAATTTAGCGGAGAATATGTTTGAATTCTGGCAGAACTTTAAAATAAGTTAAGCTCTAGAAAAGATGATTAATCACCCATGAAAACCATAGTACCAAATTCATGTAGGTTTTTTGCTTCTTCAGAGGGGGAAAAACAGGTTGTCAGGGGCAAGATTTTGGATAGTTGAAGAATATTCTTTGGAAAAGTGTTATTTTGGTGCTTCGTCATGGAATGTTTCTCACAAGGAGGATGATGGATCTGCTGTCCTCCCCAGAACTGACCACAAAAAGGAGAAATTGGTAGGAATGAAGCAACCTGTTCAAAGAGAAACTACCTTTCCCCTAAATTAAGTAGGAGTTGGAAATGATACTAATGTAGTTATTGACACTGTTCCTTTTATTCAGGCAGTTTCTATAGCAGTGATAGACTTCAATGTTATTAGTTTATGGGAAAAAAAAAAATCAAGTATTAGAAACTTTGTGGCTTCAAATGTACAGTAGATGTGAGTTAGCAATCACTCAGGATAAACCACTCTTCAAACTATTAATAGTTTGTTAGTGCTGGAGTGTGTATGTGTGTTTGTGTGTCAGTGTTCAACGATTACTTTGAAACAAGACTTCTTACTGTTTTCTTGCAGAAAGTGCATACTTTGGGGGAAGGATATTAATAGCTGGTTATTTATGGAAAGATTCCATGTGATCAAATTAAATTGAGTCACTTTTTTCCATATCAAGGATTCCAGGAAAAAGCTAATAAAGATTTTGAATAATTAAATTAGATAATCTTAATACATTTTAGATTTCCTATGGTAGCTTTTATCTGTTATTTAAGAAAAAAAAAAAAAAAAGCTAAACCAATGTATACCCCATGCTGCATTTTTTAAATTTGTATTTCCTCTACTTGACAGTGAATCTTTTGATTTGTATTGTCCTTGTAACAATACAGGATATGCAGTCAGTTTTACTGGCGGAAAAAAAATCTGCAAGGATTAAAGGTTATTTTCTTACTTTTTCTGTCATACAAAGTTTTTTTTCTCGTAACTGAGGATTTTTACTACTTTAGCATTATGTAATCTTATCTCTGTCATAGAGCGAGCATAAGCAGCAAGTAGCCCACTTCTTGTGGACAAATAAATAGGTGACAGAACATGGATTAGTGGTGTTGAATCCCTTTTCACCAGGAAAACCCTGTGTCGGGGTGTGAGCCCCAGACATCAGGGTTTGGTTACTGGTGAAGGACTAAAGCAAATGGGTTTTTAGTAACCCCAACCTCTGCTGTTTGGTGTCCTTTAACCTGGGACCAGGGAAAATCTTCATTGTTAGACCTGAAGATGGCACGTATTGAAGATCATGTTATTGGTGCATGTAAGCCATTATCTTAACTGTCTTACTGAACTGGTTAATGCTGTTGACTGTTGTTGAAATGTGAAATGTAGTTACTTTTGACTTTGTAAATACCTGCCAGAGATGAAATATAATTATTTTAAATCATTGTAAATAGAGATGTATAAAACTAAACAATCTGCAATGCAGAAAAGAATTATATATATATAAATATATATAAATATATAAAGATGTTAAATAAATATCGTGCTGTTTCTGAACAGATGCGTACTTTGTCAAGTGTGTGTTTTTACGCTGATTTTCTTGGGCTAGGCTAGCTCGCAGGTGTGGGGGGGAGGTCGAGCCCTCCGCTCCGCCTCTCCTTGGGTGCATCCGCCCCCGCTCTCCCACGGGAATTCCTCCCCGTCGCCCTCTCGAGGTTTCCCCCACACCGGCTGGCGCTGGCCCTGGAGCGCGCGCGCTCTCCCCCGGGCGGGGGGCGCTAACGGCAGCGCCGCT